CCAGCGGGGGGCTGAGGCTTTCGATCTCGAGGACCTCGTAGCCCCGGGGAGCGGCGCGAAGGAGGGAGCCCTTGACCTCGGTAAGGGTTCGGCGTTTTGGGGCTTTTTGGGGCTTATAGGGTTTATAGGGTTTATAGGGCTATATAGGGCTTATAGGGTTTATAGGGCTTTATAGGGCTATATAGGGTTTATAGGGCTATATAGGGCTTATAGGGTTTATAGGGCTTATAGGGTTGGTAGGGTTTATAGGATCCAGGTTTGGGGTCTGGGCTTTCAGGGTTGCAGGTTTGGGGTTTAGGGTTTGTGGGTTGGGGGTTTGGCTTTAGGGTTTGGGGTTTAAGCATTCAGGGTTTCGGGCTTAGGATTTAGAGCTTAGGGTTTCAGGTTGAAGGTCTAGGTTGCCTCTCACTACCACTACGACGAGCCCCCTGGGCCTACCCTACCGCATGTCATCACCCCACGAGTCCCAAGATTTGATTCAAGTTCGCAGGCCACAGAAAGCGCAACAAGTCTGGATATACAGTATTTGTAGATATATATATATATATATATATATATATTTGTTTACAGGTTTGCTTCTTGGCAGGCCAATACCCCTAAATCTTGAACGCTATATGTTCGCATACATACTGACCCTCAACGGCACTAGACCCCAAAGGACCCATGAGCACCTGACCGCCTCGGCCAAGCTGCCATCCCCGTGCGCCCCAGCCAGCCTCAGCTTTCGGCTTCTTCGTCTTGGGGATTGTATTGGAGGGGTTTACGGTTTAGGGTTTAGGCGGTTTAGGGTTTAAGCGGTTTTGGGCTGACCGGTTTCCGGTCTTGTCCGAGGGTGCGGCCACTGAGACGAGGAGGAACCTCCGCGCAGTGCACACAGAAGTGCCGCAGTCAAAAAAAAGGGGATCTTAATGTAGTAACCCAATATAGTACTCTAATATAGTACCCTAATATAGTACCCTAATGTAGTACCCTAATGTAGTACCCTTATATAGTACGCAAAATAGTAGGATCCTTCAGATGCAACCTAAGTGTAGCTTCAGATATTCAAGGCCAGGGACTAAGGGACGGCACGAAGCAAGCCGAGCTTGAAACCAAACCACCACTTAACCAGGTTTAGGATTTAGGGACTTAAGGGTTTGGGGTTTAGGGGCTTAGGGTTTAGGGGTTTAGGGGTTTAGGGTTTAGGGTTTAGGGGTTTAGGGGTTTAGGGGTTTAGGGTTTAGGGACCAAGCCCGTAGCGTTCGCCTCGACCAGGAAACCATTCTCCGGCAGCGGGGAGGCCAGAGTAGATTCCACTGCCCCCATAGATACAAGAAGCCCTCTGCAAGTAGCTGATGAGAAATCGAAGCTGACTCGCTGCCCTTGTACCAAGCGCGTGTGTCTAGTGGTGGGGAACGCAGCCTACACGGACTCTCGAAGCCCATGTGTCAAAAAGGGATTCACAGAGCTCTGGGTGCTTTGTGCTTCCTTGGAGCCCGACCCTGCGACACCACGAGATAGACCTCAGCACGGCAGCAAGTCTTGTCGCCGCCCAGTGGCAAACAGCATCTGAATCGAACAGCGACTCCGAAACCCCGCGTCATCAGAAAACGAAGCCCACACACGACCATCTCCAGAAACCCCCGAGTCAAACTGCTGATGCGATCCACTGAGAGCTAAGCGCAGAGTAAGCCGGGCCTCATTGCGAGATCCGAAGCTCTACCCGCATACTTCTACTAAATTATGGCCGGGCTTTGGCAGCAGAAGTCGTGGCGGCGCCAGCAGCAGCACTTGTAATAATACTTGCAGTAGTAGTAGTAGTAGTAGTAGTAGTAGTAGTGGTGGTAACAGTAGCAGCTCGCAACAATGACAACAGCAACAAAAAACAAAAAATACCAAAAAAATAAAAAAAACACACACCAAATAGTAATAAATAAAGTAGTAATAATAATAATGATAATAATAATGAAACTAATAACTATAATAATGATAATGATAATAACAATAATCATAAAACAAGAAGATCCGGCCTTGGCCAGGCGACGGAGGCCCCAGCAGCCCGGTCCAGGCGCTCGCAGAGGGAGAGCCGGACCTCGCTCAGTTTTGAGGACTGGGGTTCAAAGGTTTAGGGTTTTGGGATTTAGGGATTAGGGTTTAGAGTTTAGGGCTTAGGGCTCAGGGTTTTAGGGATTAGGGATTAGGATTAGCTGATGAGGGTTTTGGGATGAGTGTTTAGGGATAAGGGTTTAGAGTCTTTGTTTATATGCAGTAGCCCCTTTGGGGGTTTAGAGTCTAGAGTTTAGGGCTTGGGGCTTAGGGTTTGGGGATTAGGCTTTGGGGCTTAGGGTTGAAACGTCTTGACGACTAGATACTACACCGGTCCTTGTAAAGGCCCTTGTAAGGTCTTATACGGACTGGGGTCTTGGAGCGGACTTCATAAGGGAGGTTATAGGGTTCCCTTTGCCATGCATGGCGGGTGCAGAAGGCTGAGCCAGGTACAGCTCGGAGATGGGGCCTCGAGGACGAGGCTCGAACGCAGCGTGCAAAATCAATGAGATGGCCGGTTCGCTGAAAGGCTAATATGTGTGTGTATACATACATACATATGTATATATATATATATATGCATATATACAGAGTAATGAAATAGCTTACAGCAATATACAGTCATATAACATGTACACGCACACATACATATATATATATATATATATATATTGTCAGCAATAAAGACAAGAATAAAGTACAGAAGCGCGACGCCACGGCGACCACAGAAAGAGCAACTGAAGGCCTTCCCGGAGGCAGCTGCTTCGCCACCTCGCCCGCACGGGGCCCGCCAAGCTTTACTTCGAAGTACCAGACCTCGGCCCCATTGTTTAGGGTTCCGGCTTTAGGGCTTAGGTTTTCGGGCTTAGGATTTAGGGTGCCTAGCGCTTGACACATGGAAGACTCAACTCTCCACAAGGCTGCGCGAAACTCTTCCGCAGGCGGTCGTTCAGACAACTGGGCTTCATTAGTACTGCTGCCATGATTACTAGTAGTGTTAGTCATACTATTGTTGCACAATTAATCGTATTACCATTTTTGTTCCTCTGGTTGCATTTGGGAGCTTCCGAAAATAGGGGACCCTAAATAGTAGTAGTAGCCCCATTTTGGGAAACTCCCATTTGCAGGTTCGCAGTAAGCCACCAGCTGAACAGCCATGCTCTGCCGCCTTCAACAGTCTCCGCCGGCTCAAGGCTCCCTCGGTTGTTTTGCTTTTGTTTTCTACTACTGTTACAATTGTTGTTACTTGTATTACTACTTTCCTTCCTTTAGGTATGATTACTATTTCTAGTACTTGTATTGTTGCTGTTAAATCGATTATCATTATTGCAAGTCTTATGAGTGCAGGGGTTTAGGGTTCAAAGGGTTGTAGGGTTTGGGTTTAGGTTTTGGGACTTGGGGCTGTAGGGTTTTCGGGATTAGGATTTAAGGTCTGTGGGTTTAGGGCTTTATATCGGTGCAGGATTTGCGGCTTTCCGATGGATGTTTGCTGGTGACCCAGTGCCTGCATGCCTCGCAGTAGCTCAAAATCCACTAATTCACACCCAACATACACGTCTGCGCAAGAACCTGTCTCGAAAAGCAGCATTCTGGAGCTCGTAAGCCTTTTTTCCTCCTGGACATGAATCAGCATCTGAAGATCTCTGAGGCTCCAGCTGGTGATGCAGCCCGCGGGACAGCTTCATCACCGGCCCTTAGCATTCGGCATTGCGCATGGGCCAAACCTACACGTGTTATCAGCATGTGCTTCTGTACTTAAGGGGCGGTCTCGTCATCCACGGACATCACGCCATGGGCGCCTACATGCTGCAAGCAAGCCCAACCGTGTTTGCTGACCGGGACAACCGGGTCTTTACCCAAACCATTTGTGCCGACATTACCACTACTGCGTCCAAAGCTACGATTAACAAACCCAGTACTAACGACGATGACTTTTACGGCTAGATTGCCGTGATCGCAGTTCAAATTTATTCTGGTCCACTTCTTGATTGTAAATGAGTGGTAGTATCCCTGCTGCTAGGAGTCGTAGTAGTAGCTCGCGTAGTGCTAGCAATACCATTAGCACCGCCGCCACCCCCGGCCCTACTATAACGATGACGGTTATTGAATATTGCCTTCGCATTATCGCTACTACTCTGACTTTGAAAAATACTAGTTCTTTCAGTTGTTTCTACTGCATTAAGTCTTCAGGTTACCTGTAGTAACGTTCACAAATCTTGCCGATAGTGTGACAGCCATCAGCATCTGTGACCATGACTGGTGCTATCGTCACTAGATTCATGCAGTTGTGGCAATGGCGCTGGCAACAAGGGCAACAGCAACACTTGAAGAGTAACAATCCCAAAGGGTCCAAGTAATAGTATAGTATATACTTTGGGGGGCTCAAGTATCTGCTAAGCATCTCTTAGAACAATACTTGGACCCTTTGGGAATGAACAATAGCAGTAGCCATACCATTGTTGCTGCTTTTTCTGGCTGCTCGAAGGCCTCCAGTCGCTGCGCATGGAACGGCATGAAGGCAGGCCGAACTCTCCTACTTTCTTCCCTCACTCCCGGTCAAACGAAACCCGAACTTCTGTAAGCTTCGGGTCTTGGGTGAGGAGGTCTTAGGTCACATATACTAAGGCTCCTGGGGTATCTGCTTCTACTTTGCCGAATTCCCATACAAACGATGCATTTAGGAGCCATGCAACTCCCGCGGTGGCGATGTTATGTGCCTTTGAAGGATGTTGTCTGAAGCTAATCGAGCCACAGCATTCGGGGCGCGCTCGACCAGCATCTTGTTCAACACAAAGAACACAAGCCTAATACACAATCAGGACGTCGTCGCCACCCCTCGTGTCATATCACAAACGTGTTCCTGCGAATTTCCTCCATCTGACATGTGCTAAACTCCAGTCTGCCCACCATCGAGCGGCTAGCTTGGCGAACTCTTTCAAGAAGCCCCAGCTGGCAAATGGCATTGAAGGGCGAACCATGTTGGCGTCTCGAAGATCGAGAGCAACACGAGCCCCAGCAAAGCTCGCTTGTAGGTCACCTTGGCATATGGAAGACATCTGCAGATGGGTCCGAACTTCGATATTCGACTTTCTTGCTGGGGGCACTCTGCCACAAGGTCATCTTCGACTCCGCTGAAAAGATTTCCGGATGGGAGCCTCGTAAGTCGATCATGAATGAAGAAAATCAGAAAGCTCTTCCGAAATCTTCGGCGCCCAGTCATGCACAACAACCGAAGCACGCTTCGCGCGTGTCCCAGACCCTCGACTCCAGCACCCCCCTGGGGCACCGGCCTCGGCCCAAACCTCCGTGACAGCTGCTGAAGTCAGAAGACGACAGAAACACTGCAGGACTTCGCAACTTGTTGGCTTCACGGGTCCCATCGAGGTCTTTCTGTCCTGAGCCCGTCACAAACTGAAAATGTGCTTCCCGCGCTTTCGGCCTCGGACTGGCAAGGTCATCTACCAAATCAGAGCAGTGTCGGGCCGTGTAACATGTAACATGCCGCGTCTGAGCTTCGTTCGTGTCGGGATAGACGTCGATGCGTATATCTTGGAATGCATCCTCCAGCTGCCAAGCCGCCTGAATCATGTTGGTGCGACGTCGGAAACACAGACAACTGTGCGCCCACAGAGAACCAACGTTACCAAGTACCCTCAAAGCAGAAGCACGCAACGGGCCTTCTGGATGCCCCAGTGGTCGATCGTCGCCATGCCAAGCAGCTATGGCAAGCTCATGTAAGCTGAGGCGGAGGTGTGCCACCAAGCATTTTCAGTGACTTCTCTCGGGCCAAATGGAACAGACTGGCTTCCAGCCCGTACCCTACAAGAAACAGGAAACCCACGAAAGGCCCTGGATCTGCTGCACTTGCACACTTTGACCCGACTGCGAACCGCATCTGGTGCAGCTCACGAATCAACGTTCGACTCCTTTTTGACACCACCGTTTTTCGCAAGCCTGCCATTCATCTTCCGATGTAGACAGCGGAGCGCTCATATTATACATATTTCGAAGTATTGGCACGGCGAGCTTGTGCAGTGTGCACTTCTGTTGGCACGAGCATGCACAAACAACAGCCATCCGAAGAGATGCTAGAATTTCAATCGAAAGCCCAATGTGCGCAGAGGAAGCCAATCTGAAACGAATAGTGTCTGGATGGACATGGCCACTGTGGAAGAAACGTTGGCCCCCACGAAAAGCCTTCTGTATTCACCTGGGCAGGAACATCGCAACATTAGACTGAATACCTGTCAACAGACGACTGTCAACAAGTCATTGCCGAAGGCACGAAGCACTGCTACATGAAGCACCCCTCACCTGCAACTCCGTCTGCTTCTGCCATTGCCGCCTCTGCCAGGTCAAATAGAGCAGCCTCGCAGCAGGGGCAATCTCCCGAAGGTTGTTGAATGCCGACATCTGGTGAATTCCATGTACTGGCACGGCCAAAACAATGCTCCGATTGCACTGTGTGGAAGAAACTAGATTTTGAGTCGCATGTGGCCTTCTCGCTGTATGCCGGCTAGTATGGCGATGCTTGCTTGAGCACGAGAGAATTGGCATGCAACGAAAACCCCGTCATTTGCTTTGGAAATGCGCGCCGACCTCGCACCGAACTTCTGCGAGGTGACTCTGAAGCACTGCTGCTTGAGCAAGGAAGTTGAAATTGAATCATTTTGGATTGCGCAGACTGACGACTTGAGGTGCAGTACATGTCGAGATCGGCAGCAGCCTGGCAAGGGTCTAAGGCTCACCGATGCTGCAAGGTCAACACAGACAGGATCTCATTGCAAAGCGGTGTTGCCGCTAAGCACACGAGCCACACTCAAACTTCGACATGGCATCAGACGTGAAATAAGCGCATTTTTTGAACGGAGAGCTAGGAGCAAAATCCCCTCGGCGCAACTTCGCGATCTGAAAATCCCGGAGAAATCCAGGACTCCGCAGTCTTCCGCGTCTTCGATGCACTGACTGCAGAGTTGAAAAGCTCATGACCCGATGTCACAAAGCATGGATGCGAGACATGTCGCACAGGGAACTCCTGGACTGTATGGACTGCGTGCGCAGTATTCCGCGTCTTCGACGGAGGAATGTGAAGAGTAAAGCCTGCTAGGAAATGTGCCAGGACCTACCTATCGGACCTGTCGCCCGTCTCGCAGATCCAAAGCACTGAACGACCCACTCCAAAAAAGCCCGAGCACCCATGTGACCGCCGTCACCGAGATTGAGCAGATCCAACCAATAACAAGACTAGATGTGATTGGGATTCCCAATATGGTTTGTTGCCTGTTGGCCTGCACTGCGTCGCGCTGCAGGGCAGAGATCACATGCAGGATTTCTTGACCATCTGGCACCTCGTCGGACGCATTTTGCGCGGGAAGCATGCCGCCCAAGTGGCGGCTTCTGCCAAAATCTTTGCATCCCGACTCAGCATCGAGTTGATGTCCATGCCATACTGCAGGATCTTCATCATGAGCCACAAAAATGGCAAAGCCGACGAGTAAATCAACGCCAAACCGATAGAAATGACGTTGTAACCCAGTAGCAAATCCAGAAGTGCATACACAAAGAAAACGCAACCAACCACGCAAGTCATGACTCCCACAAACTCCATGCGAGCGGTAACGTAAGCCATGTTTATGCGGAGATATTCCCGCAGTCCCCACCAGACCTGCAGGTCCGGGACAGTCGCGAAGCCACGAGTGAGCTTCTGAAGCGCAGGCACGTCGCAAAGCCTTGAAACTGGCTCCTCCAGGTTCTGGCCCAAACACCATCGCCATCTTTTGCGACTTCGTCTTTTCTGGCACTGATCACCTTCCAACGCCTCGACCAGTTCTTTGGCCCGACGTCTGTTCCCAGGAGTGAAGGATTCCACACCACGGGATGACTCGAGCCAGCGGGCCGGCGAAAGCTTGTGGAGGCAGGCGACGACGAGGACTCGCACAATGCTGTCACGAAATCTGTCTAGTCCATCGAATATTGCAAAAAGGAGACGAACCCAAGAATGTGCAGTAAGGATACTTGCGACAAATATGTTCACAGTCCACCAATCTTCAGCAGCCTGGTCGAAGTCCCCGAAAAGCCTGTTGCGAGCCGGGAATTCCAGGTCCAAAGCCAGAAGAAACAGTCCAACTAGCATGAGTACCGACGACACCAAAGTTTTAAGCAGATGTCCGTTGGACCAGCATTCCTTACGCACAAAATCGGCATGGTTGGGGTCTACCGATTCTTCGAAATAGGGCTTCAGTGCCTTCACTGCCTCAAGCTCTTGGATAACTTCGAGAGTGTCGCGAGATGTTCCTTCCAACCCTTCTCGAGTCTGCTCTAGCCACATCTTCACCGATCTGCGAACGCGGTCGGATCGCACTTCGAAAGAGCGCCAGCAGAAAACACTGGCAACACAGAGGCTGGAACGCATAAAGTTCACCTGTGTGTAGCGTATGATGCTCTGTATCAAGTCCACATCCCACGTCTTCTCTTTCAGGCTTACAACATCGAGAAAGTCATGGATGTTCCGCACTCCCAGGAGGTCACAGAAACGAATGGCATCTGAAATTGCCCTGTACTGGATCTGCAGTAGCCATAGCCACAGTGTGACTTCAGCCGCGACACGAACAAAGAAGGCCACTGGTCTCGGTACCCAATGCTCCTCCTCCCTCTCTCGTTCCATTCTGAAACAGATCCAGTCTTTGCCATAATTCAGAAAAAGGTAGTAAGAGGCCGGAAAAGACAACGGAGGGATAATGCTGCACAAAGCAATAACGCAATCCATCAGTACATAGATCCATTCCTCACCTATTTCCGTGAGGTTCAGAAGCCAGGAGACCTAAGTTCATGTGCTTCCTGAATGCATACAGAACCTATGCAGGCTATTCAGCTCAGTCGCATCGTCCTGAAGGGTCTGCTCTGTTCCTTGGCTCGCTGACTTTCTAGACTGCTGGGACTGAGAAGACTGAAGTGTGCCTTCTTCCTCCGAAGCCAGGGACTGTTGACTGTAGGATGTCCGAACCCAAAACCCGGACACGCGGCAGATACGATGCCACATGGGAATAGTGCTATTTAGAATGTAGCTGATGCCTCTTACAGGGATCTCGTGGTTGCAAAACGCCGACTGATGCTCAAAGCTTTCGGGATCAGATTACGAAGGTTCAGTTTCTGTCGCAGAACATTGCCATTGCCCGAAGCAAATCCCTTGCGCCGAAGCTCCTGATGGATCCGCATAATTTGTGTTGGGCTCAGCGCCGGAATTCCGCAGCGAGCCTGCAAACGACATTCAAGCGAGCTGATCTCGGCAGCAAGCGGTTGCAGACGAGCATCTGTCAAATCTAGATCATGAACAGGTCAAGCATTAGTGCAATCCCTGTCGGGCAAGGCGTTCCGCACCGCATGTATTTGCATGTACTCGATTGCACTGTTGGCCGGTTCTGACACGACCCCATGCGATACGGGGGCGAGTACGGGAGAGTGTGAAGAAGTATGGGAAGTTTTTGCCACACAAATCACCCACCTTTCATCGGCCCTTCACCCAGCCCAGTGGGACGAACACAATCGAGAGCTTTGGGAAGCTTCAGCTTTCTAGACCCATTTTCCCAAGATGTTGACAAAGGGGTATCCTTCCATAACGGCGTCTCCAAAGCCTGCAACTTCCGTCAAGGGAAGGTGGAGCTCTTTCTCAGCAGCTCGTGGGCCGCGGTTGTCCAAGCCGTTCTCTGATTCCTTGGTTCGCCGTCGTGGACATGCACTGCAGGACTCTCTGCAGCCTCGTTCTAGTGCAGATGGTGTGTTGTTTTCTTGCCTTCGTGAGCCGAGTTGCTTTGACAGCGCTGGATGGGGTAGTGCTCGGTGACTCTCTATTCATCAAACCTCCGAGTCAAGCCGGGTTCCACGGTCTGGAATGGCGAGACTGCTGACATCAGCAACGTTCGTTTGTGGGATAAGGGTTTCCCGTTGGGCAAGTGTCACGACGGGGACTTCTTCAAGAAGGTCCAGTAGCAGTGGATTAATGGGGACAGCGATTCCGCGAGATTCCTCAAGCCTGCGACAATAAATCACCAACCTTTAATCAAGCCATCATGCCGAAGATCCAGGCTCACTGTGGCACCACAGGGAGACGGCTTCAGGTTGCCTGGCCTTCTGCGCCTGCACGATTTATGCTGGACTCCGTGCCAGAAATTATCTTCGCACCAGGACTGCTGCCGTCCGAGCCGTTCTCGAATTCCTTGGCTGGCCGTTGTGGACATGCACTGCAGGACTCTATGCAGCCTCGCTCTAGAGAACTTTGCTCTTGGCTTCCCTGCTGTCCTTTCTCAGCTGAGTTGCTTTCATGCGGGTCGAGGGGGTGGTGCTCGGTGACTCTTCTATCATTGGACCTCCGAGTCAAGCTAAATTCAACGCAGAGTCTACGGTCTCATATGGCGAGACTGCTCACATCAGCAACACCGCAACTGAGATATACTTGGCAGCCAGTGGTTGCAGATGAGCATCTGTGACATCTACATCATAAACAAATCAAGCATCAGCGTGCGCGTATGGCGCGATGCGTTCCGCTTGTCAAGTATGTGCATGTACTCGACTCTGACTCACTGAATACACTTCTCGCCGACTCTGACACGATCCCATGGGAAGGCGTTTTCGTTGTCAGGCAAGTCTCACGACAGCTGTGATGAAGTATGTGGTTATGTGGGGGATTTCTGCCAGAAGGTCCACTAGCAATGCAGCCTTCACGCCGAAGCTCCGGGCTCTTTCTCAGCACATAGATGGGCTGGCACAGGGAGGCGGCTGGCCTTCTGCGCTTGCACGGTTTATGATGGACTCCACGACGGAAAACATCATCTTCCCACCGGGACCGCGGTTGTCCAAGCCGTTCTCTGATTCCTTGGTTCGCCGTCGTGGACATGCACTGCAGGACTCTACCAGCCTCGTTCCAGTGCAGATTGTGTGTTGTTTTCCTGCCTTCTTGAGCCGAGTTGCTTTGGTAACGTTGGTGCCGATCGGAGCGGTGGTGCTCGCTTGAAATGTTTCTTGCCTCGAACCTCCGAGTTAAGCTCAGTTCCAAGCAGAGCTCAGCAGCACCACAACGAGTCACAAGCTAATTGAGCGTTGCTGGGTATGAAGCGGCTGCAGATGTGTATCTGTCCATTCTAAGCGGTGATCAGGTCAGGCATCAGTGCAATTTGTTCGGAGTTCGGACCGAGTGGACCTTCTGCGAGCCTCGTTTCTCGTTGCCTTTCGTCGCGAGCCGGTCACCTAGCAATGAACAACATGCACCATGATAAGCAATTCCCGTAGCACAGGGGCGGACATTCAAAACCAGAAGCTTTCGGACCTAGAGTTGTCGCTCCAGCTGGCCGCTGCGAATCTCTTCTCCTCAAGACCCTTTTCCTTGTTCTTTCAGGGGTAGCACCTGCATGGATCCGCATAAACGACATGTCCAGCTCAAGCCGAGGGTATCCTTGCAACACGAGAACCGACCTGTTTACCCAAGCTATCAACGAACATTGACAGAGCCTCGGCCAGCATGTGGCGGACCGTCCCATCGTAAAGGACTTTGAAGAGCTGCTTTGGGTCCGCCACCATGTGTTGCCATTGGGATTCTACACACCCTCTTCAAAAATGGCAAAGAAGGGACCCTTATCTGTGCTGTGACAAAATCATGATGCTCTTCTGGCAGATTTGACTCTCATTCAAAAAATGAAGATGGGCCGAGCCGCCGTGGCTGCGCAGCCTCTGTCACACTTCTCGACGGACAACCTCCTGTGCACTAGGCAGCGCATTTCCGACCAAGCGCAAGCAAACCCCACACACGACGATAATGTAGCAAACTCGACACGGACAGAAGTTGAGTTGTTGGACTCGAAGAATTGGACAGCATCAACTGGCTCTTGAAAACTTGAAGTCATTCGACCAATGATGGATATCCAGTTTCGAAACAGCTTTCGGGTTGATCAACATGTGTTTGGGCCTGACGCATACCATATGTGCTTGCCTCATAGCGAAGCAAACACAGTTTATTCGCTGTCGATGCAAAATCTGTACAAACCACGCTGGAATTCGTCGAACAAAAATTGTAAAGCCCTGTGGAAAAATTGAAAATGCAACACAAGTACCACCAAACAATGCACTGGCTTACAGGGGCGGGGCAAAAGTTCCATGCCAATGCGTGTGTTTACTGTCGCAGTCTGTCCAACTTTCGTTTGCAGCCCTTCTGCCGATACATGCTTCTGGTTTTGCGCATGCTCGTGGCAGCTGCCCCCACGTGGAGGTTCTGGAGGTTTCTCGAGACAGTGATCAGCAAGCCGCCAACGAGAGGAGGCACGACCATGTGGGAGTGCGACTGTCGGCGTCCTTCGCGCTGCGAGAAATCTGTCCCTTCTCAGATCAGGTTGGGCGGCGTATCAAGCATGCCTGGGAACGAGGAGTGGCTGTACACCATCCGCATGTGGATCCAAACAACTTCGCGTACCCGCCGGTCTGCCAGCGATTTCGCATCTACCTGCCGTTGTCGGAGGAGGCGCTGGGATTGAGGCCTGCCGCAACGCTGAGTTTGCAGCCAGCAGGTCTGTTAGCCCTCGCGCGGGTTCGCCAGTGGACCCGACAAACTGACGACCTCCAGCAGGCGTTAGCCGTCTGGCTTCCGGGGCGTGGCTGCGGCCCGAGAGCATTTTTTGTTGGCCTCAAAGACAGCAGTTGCTGCACTCGGTCCCAGTAAGAACTACAATAAGACAACAAGGACGCAAAATAAACTAATACCTGTACAATGTGAAACTTGAAGCTGCGACGTACAGACTTCGCCGGCAAGGTCGTTCAGCATGAATTAAGTGCACACGAGCCCCTGCTGCCCGTAAACATGGGTAGCGCAATGGCCTGGGGATCACCGGCCCTGCTCCCCGTAAAGTCCGGCACGCACAGGGCAGCCGCAACGTAACAGTGCACACAACCGCAAGGTCGAATGACCAGGGCACGACCCCTAACGAACATGGTCGCTGGCACTACCCACAAAGAGGGCCGCCGTTGCATCACACGCTAGAGCCCGTCCCAAGAGAAAATCTCGCGAGCCCAGCTTCCCACAAGAGTGGGTCTCGCAAGGGCAAACACGCTTAGCCGGCTTAGCCATGGTGGCTAGGGCTCGCAACGCGCCCTACGAGCAAGCGCTGCGCCTGCAATCATGTCCTCAGGGTGGAGAAAAGAATGCTCCCTTTGACGAGTGTGCAACCCGAGTCCAGCTTCCCACCAGAGTGGGTCTCGCAAGGGCAGAACATGGCGGATGAAAACAGTGCCTCTCCACAAGCGGCAAGTGCAGACATGTGGTGGGTTGCTGAGAGAACATGGCCATCCCAACAACGAGTGAATCCCGAGCCGAGCTTCCCACCAGAGTGGGTCTCGCAAGGGCAACACTCGTCGCTGGAAGCCAGCCGGACAGTGCAAAGGCGCCCCCGCACCTTGGGAGGATGTGTAACACTCCAGGCGGCACAATGCAGCTCTAACACTGACAGGGGCGTGGTTCACTATGAAACTGGCCACCGAGTCTAAGAACCCAAACTAGGGACAGGGTCTGACCGGGCGCTAATGCGCAGTTCCCAGGCATATCCAACAGGAGTCGTCATGCGGAGGATCGGTCAGAATTGCTGGACTCCAGCGAAGCAGAGTCCAAAAACGGCGAGCGAAGCCGCGTAATAGGGAGCTCAGCCAGACGCTCCAAAGGAAAGTAGAGCCGGCGCGCCACCCCGGACCAGCGAACGGCCCAGGGCTGCATCGGCGCGACGGCCTGCCTTTATGGCCCCAGCGCGAAAGAAATCGGTGCCCTCGTAGAGTGCCAGTGTACTTTGACAGGCACGCCGCGACGTAGAAGCCCACCCAAGGAGGGCCACGAAGTCGATTTGCAAGATGGTAGCTCGCACCTGGAATCCGAGTCGAACGATCATTTGAAAGCTCGTCTCGACCCAGACTCGCCGGAAAGTGCGCTGCGCCGTTTGGCAGTGTCGCGAACGGGTTGAGTCTCGCGCTTGTCACGCCAAGGGTCTTCGGTTTTCCCCTTGGTGGGTTGAAATTATGAAAGCGTGTGCTGGAGCGGGCTGCTGCCTGCGGCGCTGGTCATTACATTCCTTTTCTGCAGCTGGGTCGTCACTGTCCGTTCGTTTGCCCTTCGGGGTGGAATTGTTTCCTTGGCCGGTTTTTGGGTAGGCACCCCTGTGCCTCGCATCATGGCTGTCTTTTGCTGTCACCTATTGCTTGGCTGCCTGATGGCCTCGATGCCAAATCCCGTACACACACCGCGTTGATCAAGCTTGCCCCAGTAGCTGAGAATGAAGCAACTATAATGGTCGTCCCCGGCTATGTGCCGCAACCAGCCACAAGTATAGCACTCAAAGGAGGATGACTGTTGCCACAACCTCCCTTATACACCCTCTTGTGAGGGCGACTCTACTACGTTGCTTCCAATTCTTAGCTACACAGCAAGCCCACACCAAGCGGTGTCGTGTACGGTCATTAAATTTGATTTGGCATTCACAGGGCGTCCCCATAACCTTCCCAACGCTAGCCGTCCTCAGAGCAACCTTATCCTTTACCAATTCTCCACCTGTGGTGTCCCAGGCGTCTGTCACGCAGTGCTTGGATGCTCTTTTGGATCAGTGGAAGGCTGGTCACTTGCCACACCCAAGTGGCTGTCAGGAGCCTTTTTCCCTCCTTGCCCTTGTTCTGGGCTACCCGCCACAGCCTGGAAGCTTGGAGTCTTTTCAGGAACTACTTGGGGGGGCAATACTTGCCCTGACCCAGCAACTTGTCTCGACTAAGACATCGTCCGACCCTTCCACTGGTGTTGGCCTGTCATTTCAAGTATCCACATGGAACGTCTCAAGTTACACTGTATGGACGAGCACTTCGGCGGTGTGCAAAACTAACACGATCCTTAGTCTGCTAAAGAAAGGTCCGGTGTGTCTTCAGGAGACAAATTGGGATGCCGCAGGCCCGGTAGCCGCTGCACATACTTTTCCACGTGCGGCAATTGCATCATCACCAGCGATCTCCGCATCAGTTAGCTCGGGCGTTGCTATCCTGGTCCCAGCTCCTTTCACCCTCACCTCGCAGACTGAGATTCTGCCTGGCTTGATCCTGTCAGCAAGAGTCCAACATTTTGCACATCGCTGTGAGATTATCTGTGTGTATGCACATTCAGATAAGCTTGCTGAAGTTGGTCGTGCTTTGGTTTCGTACCTTACGTCAAGGTCACAACGTGACGAGCTCTTTGTAATGGGAGACTTCAACCACATGGCCGAAAAGCAGCCAGGCCTGTGGGAACTCTTCTGTGCGGAGGGGCTCCTGCGTCAAGTCTCGGGAGGGGGAATCCCGACATATCGTTCCGGCAATGTCGCGTCTTGCTTAGACAAAGTTTTGCATAATGAGGAAGCAGAAGGCTGCCGCCGCCTCAGGAGCCGGGTGTTTTGGCCCCATGCTCTCCCACAAGGCCATGGTGTCGTAACATTGCGGGTGCGTAAAGCGCGCATGCTCTCTAATGACGTTGGGGCGTCTACTTATCGAGCAATACCAATTCGTGCCTTTAAGCAACAATCGCAAGCCCCTTCAACACGCATTCCTGCACACACGTCTCATCCGGCCAAGGTGCGCCTTGAAAGGCTCAAAGTCCTCCTTCCTAACTCACCCACATTGCAAGACCTTCAAAGTCTATTTCACGTGTGGTGGGCGGGGGAGCTCGAGCACACCTCCTGTGCTGTCTCAGAAGGGAAGTATGGCGCGCTTCAATACTTATTGAAGCGACAGCGCAAACGCCCACATGCTTCATCCTTCATTGTCCCGTGGGCCATCTATGAGACTTT